GGGGCCACATCTGACTGGATGATAAAACAATAGGCGTATCTGGGGGGGCCACATTTGATTGAGCGATAGAAAAATGGGCGTGTCAGGAGGACCACATCTGATTGGACAATAGAAAAATAGGCGTATCTGGGGAGCCACATCTGATTGGACGGAGAAAAAAAAAAGCTGGATGATAAAAAACAAGGCATTTGTGTCAACCACAGACATATTACGTCTAAAAATGAGGCGTTATTGGCAGATTGTGTTAACCACAGGCATATTATATCTGTGGTGTTGACCGTTTAGACATAGCGACGTTTCCGGTTCGACATTAGCGGCGTCTCCATAACTTCTCTTTCCACCTCTCTTAGCACACAACTTCCGGTTACATTTCAAAATAAGAGCAACATAAGTGGGTAGTGAGGAGGGCTAAATGTTTGTTTTTTAATACCTACCCATTATATTGAAAAAACAAAATCCGTTTTGGTTGTTGAATAATGTGAAAATAGTTACAATCAATTCATAAAGAAAGAAAAATAAAGTAACCAAAATAATAATGATGCTTAAACTGGCTTTGGGACAAAGGGTGTTTCCTTTAACTTCACATTTTCTTGTTCAATCTTTTAAAGCGTCACTGCAGATGAGTGATTGTCAGGTTCTGTCAGATTTCTGCAACTGGAGCAGGTATTTCTGTTTACTGGTTAACTTCCTCAGCTGTCTCACATTTTAAGGGTCAACCCTACTCCATGTTTCTAAAGAGCAAATTTTGTTTTTAGCTTTTGTTTTGGGCCATTATCTCGTTACAGGACTCATGATCTTTAATCGAAACCAGACTTTTTGACAAATGGGAGCAGGTTTCACTTCAGATGCTTCATATTTCAGTGTACCCAGACCACAGTCAAACCAGTCTGTGTCAGGTGCAGCCTACAACCCAAGAACAAAAGAGAGTCTTCTTGTGTTTGACAGCAGATATAACGCTGTTTCTTAGAAACCTTCCGTTTTAAAAAAGAGCTGACGTAACGTACCTAAAGAGCCAGCAAATACAGTTAGCCAATCAGTGTTTGCCCTCTAGAAACGCCTATTCTCCAGAAACTCCCACTTTTGGTCTGCAGAGAACCCCTTCTCAAAAAAAAAAGGATGGAGAGAGACAGCCCATGTCACTTTTTCTTAAAGAGACACACTGCTCGCGCCCTCACTATCCATCCTTCAGTTCAGTCTTATAATGCCATCTGGTGGTTGAAAAATGTACTACACTCAAAATAAATCAACATTTCTTCCTAAATTTGACAATAATTACTCATTATTGTCAAATTTCAAACAATATTATCGTTTATCGCAATAATTTCTGAGACAATTAATCGCCCAGTAAAATGTGTTATCATGACAGGCCTAGGCTGCAGCTCATTTTAACCTGATGTCTACTTTCTACTATTAATAGTTTGTAAATTGTAAATTTGCAAGCAGCCCTAACTTTCCTTGTAACATGTTTTTCTGTTCACTTTAAACATGTTATATATTTACACTTAAGGGTGATTTCAGCAGTTCAGTTATTATTGATGCAGAAAACTGCAGTTCCATCCCTCTGTGTGTGCTACTTTTAGATTGCTGTCTGTTTTAGCGTCTATTACCATGTACAAAGGTAATCTTAGACGCCAAAGCTTCCAAAAGTATTGGTTGATTTTTATCTTTGACACCGTTATTGTTCCTCGGATGCTTAAAAGGGATGCAGATGAACAAAACAAGTTTTGCAACAGACTTGTTGACCGTCTTTAGCAAGTCATTCTTCTTTTCCTGTTAGGTTTAGATTTCTTGTGTGCGTGTCTGTGAGTGTGTGGAGGAGGGGTTGGGCAGGTGTGGCATTTTGACAGCTTCTGGAAATGTCTGCAGCTGTTAATGTTACTGCCATAGATGGGTTTTCTTGTTACTATAAGCACATTGTCTTTAATCCAATGAAAATAAACTTCAGTCACTATGAGCTGCAAACATTTTTCATCCTATTTTTTTCATGTGGGATTTCTTTGCAGATTTAGGATTTGAAATGCTAACCTGTTCATTTGTTGACTGAAAGGAGTCGTTTTCACTCCACGCGTTTAAAAACAAGGCATTTCCTGGCAAAACTTGGCATTTCCTTCCTTCGAAATACCAGGACATTTTGCTTTTTTTTTTTTTTTTTTTTTTTTGAGCTCAGTTTAAGTGTAGAAACATTGTGAAGTGTTTCAATGAACTTATCATCATCGCTCAATTTTTTTTTTTTTTTTTTTTTTTTTTTTTTTTTAAAGAGAGAAGAAAGAAGAATAATTAAATAATAAAAGAGAAATAGATAAAACGAGAGACCACCACAACAAAACAACATGCACAGCACAATGCCACCCACAATATCACCATGAAACATTCGACATTGCACAAGGAATCATCTAGCTTCCACCACTACCCAACCTAGCGTGCATCTGTCACAGCACCTGAATCCAAACACCCGCGCAAGCACGCCTGCCACCACCAGATTTCTCCAAAAGAATGCCCAATAGTGGACGCGGGGGCCCACAGACCCGTCCCCCAGGACACAATGGCAACATAGGGAGGACCGGAGCCACAGACACACAGCGGCCCACAGGCCCGGAGCCCCAGGAGTCTCCCAACAGGGAGAACCGCACCCCCCCAGAGAGGAGCAGAGGAAAGAACCGGGTGACCCCAGCCACCACAATGCAGAGCCTCCAGGAAGCTGCAGCGACGAGCCCACAGGTCTGGCCGGCGACCCATGCCCCCCCCCCAAGTAGATCCGGCCATGGACACCGAGCCCCAAGCCCCGAGGCCATACCACCCCCCGGCAGAGCCCCGACAGAGCCAGGGCACCCAGGCCCCGCCAGGCAGCAACCAGGGCAGACCGACGTGCACCCCACCACCCAGCCCAGACACCGAGAGCCACCAATGCACCGGCGGCAAGGGGGTCCCCCGCCAAAGGGGGGCACGACCGGGGGAAGTGGGCCCCACACCAAATGTGGGGCCCAAATTGATCCAAGAGAGGGGTACCACCAAAAACCCAACCTGAGCAACCAACAGGCACACACAGATAGCATGCACCATCTACCTGACAGCGACCACAGGCCGGCCCCAGCCCAAAGGGCAGAGCAGCAGGGAGCCGCAGCTGAGGAGGGCCGGCCCCCACATCAAGAGCCCCGCACCATAGGCACAGAGACGCCCCAGCACGCCACCTATGCACCCCCCCACACACACAGCACCCCCACCGCAAATGCCACACAGGAAGACCAGCCAGTGCCCCGATGAGGCGAAGCCACGCCCCCAACCGCCGCCCTACACCACCAATGACCACACGTTCACTACCATAGCCGACCGCCCGCCGAAAGCCGGCAGCCACCCTGGTCAAAGTGCCGGCCATCGCAACCAGGAACCTAGATTAAAAGAATCGGAACAGCCCAGGAGGAACCGAAGCACCGGCCCCATCACTGACCGCCCCCAAGGCCCAAAGCCCACCCACAGCCCAGACCCCAACAATGTGCCCCCCTCCCCCTCCATCCCAGACCCCTAGTGTCACACAGAGAAAGGAGGTGTTTGTGAAAAAAAAAAAAAAAAATTAATAATAATAATCTATATATGCATAAATAAATTATGAACAGACCCACTTCCTCCTCCTCCCACTCGAATATGGTGTTGATGCATGTTGTTATACAGTGCGTTTAAAATGGGGGGATGAGGTGGCGATCGGCACAGACCCACTTCTTGCCCAGAGAGCAGGCGGTGCCCGTTCACCCCTCATCTCCGCCCCGAACCCTAAATGTCTACATGCTACATATGAGAGTGGGCACAGGTCCGGGGAGGTGGAAATGGTAGTACATCCCACCACCTAAGTGCGATCATGTGCCCACTCCAGATCCTATATATGCATGTGTCGTGAGAGTGTTATAAGTGAGTGTCTAGGTTGTATATTAAAATTAGGGCCCAGGACCCCACCAGCCACGGAGATGGATGATTCTCCCCGTAGCTCAGTAGTGCACCTGAACCCCAAAACCCTGTTTGAGTGGTGATGTGATGGAGTGGGCGGAGGAGGACGTCGGGATGGGGAGGTGAACTGAGGTGGCAATGCCCCCCCAGGGGACCAGCTCCCCCGCTGACCCCAATAGGCACCCCCACTCTCCGAGATCCACCAGGGGACAGAGGGTCTAACAGAGATACCCAGGAGGAGGTGGTAGCCGCACCACCAGGGATCAAGGCCACGGACCGGCACACAGCAGGACATTTTGCATTAAATGTGTTTTTTTTTTTTTCAGACCAGTTTAAAGAAATATAAAATTGACGAAAGACCTTTTTAAAAAAAAAAAAAATTATTACTTTATTTTACCAGGAAGAAATCCATTGACATCATCAATTTCTTTTACAAGGATAAGTCTGTTCTATATAGACCTCTGTCTTGATTTATACAGGTCAGCTTACATTTAATCGAGTTATTTGCATATATTCGTGTCAGAAAACAATAACGAAAAAGGAAAATGTGGGGTGAAAATCTGACAGAAAAGCCTCACTAATTGCTGCTCGTCACAAAGCAACAAGCGGAGTCAACTCAAACTTGGAAAAACTTTTTTGTCATTCTGCATCAGACGTTGATTCACTTTGTCACTCTGCTGCAGATTGAAGCATTTAAATTCCTTTTTGTGCAACAGCAAATGGAGTGTGGTGCCAAAATGTACTCAACCCAGTATAAAATGCTTGTGGTTGAAGTTATTTTAGAAATTGGGCAATTTGCATTTTCGTTGGCCTCATTCTGGGTAAGCTAGTTTTTGCGTGTATTGTAAAATCTCTGCATTTCCAAACTGAATATTCAATGATTGCTGTCTTTTTCAAGTAGTCTGTTTATTAATATGTGAAACTAATGTTTTATAGAAAAGTTATTTTCTGTGTTGCTTTTGCTTAAAGTTCTTGGTTCACTGTGTGGATTTGGTCCTTTGCTCCTCTAAGACCTTGTACTGCTGGAGTCTGGTTGCCTAGGAAACATTCAGACTAATTCATGCGTTGGGTTGCGTCTCCCTCGCACTAATTTTTCCCTTTAATTCAAACTGTAGATGTAGATGATGTACAACTCTGCACGTTTCCTCAATCTCTGTTCCACTTGTTCTCATCACTGAGTTGTCAAAAGAAAAACTAAAACCTACACGTTTAAGGGAGTCCCTCTCTCAAAGTTACACTTTATTATTAAACTGGCAAAACAAGCACATATTTGGTTGAGACATATTATTAAAATGTATCTGAACAAACTGTATTATTTTTTTAGCCAATGTGTGGCATTCCTCAAAGGTTTGTGTTTGTACTCCTTAGTGTCTTGTCCTCGACCCCTGGTTCAGAAGAAGCCCAAATGCTGCTCACTGTCATCTGTTCCAATAAGGTGTGTGTTACGTCAAAGTTGTTGGAAATAAAATGGCTTCTGACAGCTATAAATAACTTCATGCAACCTTTCGGTCACCGTGTGTCATGTTGAGCTTTTCATGTTTAATCTCCTTCTATTTGTTTCAGCTTGTTAATGAAGAGCCCAGACTAACAGCCAAAGATCTTATTGATTGCTTCTCTCAACCAGACTATAGGTAGGATACACACATACACTCTGTGTCTCTGAGTCCTGTTTTTCCAAATGGACACCACAGTCTAATCAGATCAGATCCCAGAACTCTACCGCTCTCTGTAGCAACTTGCCTGGGCAAGTCTGTGTGTCCTTCCTGGATTGTAACAACCACTCTGTCATAGTAGCTCTCCTTGTTACGATCCCCAGCAGACCTTACAAAGGCGGTGTCCATGCCAACAATTTCCAGACAACTGGGACATTTATTATTAACACACTTCTTTGAAGGGATGCTTCAGACCGTTTCACTTCAGTTACACTAAGCTGGTGTCTGCAGTAACCCTGTTCTTGTTGCTATCGTGGGATTTGTACTTTTGCACATAAAGACTTGATACTGGCCCTGCACCCGGCCATTTTTTATATTTACACAATATTCCCTCGTTTATCGTGGGGGTTGCGTTCCGGACCCACCCCACCCCGGCAATAAGTGTAAAGCCGAGAAGTAGAAATGCAAAATTAATTTTAGGTGTTTTTTTTTTTAACACTTAAGTTAAATCAACATAGATTTCTGAGTTGAAACAACGTACCAAAACAGTTCAGTTAACTAAGAAATTTAAATCCACTAAACTAAAGCTTAAGTTTATTTAGCAAGAGTTTATTAATCAAGATAACTTGATAATGTTTGTTCGCTCAACTTAAAATTTTAAGTTGAGTGAGTAGTAATGCCTTCTTGCTCACCAGCTCTGCAGAACACAGCAGTTCGGTTCCGGTTCGGCAGATCTACCCAGTCTTGGTCCAGTTCTGGTCCGGTTCTGATCGGCTCTCTGCACCAAGCACCAAGACGCTTTTAGAGAGAGCCGGACCTTCGGATAGCCAGCAAAAAAAACACACAATGGTCCCAACTGAGTCCAAATCCAAATTAAAAAAGTCCCTGTGAGCGCTGGAGAAAACACCGGACCTCCACGCAACGCCTCCCCGCTCAAGAGGCCTCATGGGCCGGCAAGTAGTGCTCAGATTGACTGAGACTGGAAGTCCGGTTCTGGTCCAATTCACGGTCGGTTTCGTACATCTCTCTGCACCCACTGAGTGCCGAAGTCGCTATGAATAAGGACCAAACTTTTTGGATTGGATCAAAACTTTCCCTCCATTTCAGCAAAAAGCAACTTTGCCTTCTGGATAGTGCACTATTGGCTTCTGGGTAATGCAGTCCTTTAGACTGGCAATACAGTGTATTGAGAGAAAACCACAAAATGGCAGCGCATTTTTATTTTATTTGTGTGTGTGTGTGTGTGTGTGTGTGTGTGTGTGTGTGTGTGTGTGTACTGTACAATTTTACAGCACGGTTAACTTTGAAAAAACGCGGAAAAACGAGTCCGCAAAAGTCGAACCGTGAAGTAGCGAGAGACTACTGTATAGCAGAACAAACAAGTGTTACATTTTTTAAATCCTGATGATTTTAATTAATAGATTAGAATTAATTAGAGCTTGAACAGAGCTTGCACCTTCACCATAAACGCTCATACAGTAAATAAACTCCTCATTTCATAAGAGACACATACTGGGTGGTGCCAGTTTAGATGGCTGCAGCTTATTTTAACCTGAGATCTTTCTACTGTTGTTAGTTTGTACATTTGCAAGCAGCACTAACTTGCCTCCTAATATGTTTAAATGTTTTGTTTTTCTGTTCACATTAAAACAGGCTATATATTTACACTTTGTCTGAGCTGATTTCAGCCGTTCAGTGTTTAATATTGATGCAGAAAACTGCAGTTTCATCCCTCTGTGTGTGCTATTTTTAGCTTGCTCAATCTCTTTAAACTTAGACTGCGCACACGTTTTGCTGCTGTCTCTGGTAGAAGTCGGTGATAATACCAACACGCTGATTACAACAGAACATTTTGTTACTGTTTTTTTTCAAATATAAGCGATAAGGACATTAAGCAGCTGATATGCCGTTTAATTGAGTATTATTGCTTCTTGTTGATTCGGCTTTGTTTACTCGTGTGTTTGTAGAAAGATTACAAAACAAATGTTTATCAAATTCACAGACCAAAACTGAGATTGTGAGATTTATTTCAGACAAACTAAGATTAAATTATAATCTAAGTAAGAGAATATTTAAAAATTGGAGTTTATGCACAAACAATATTACCAGTAGCAGCAAACTTAAACAAAGTATAGTTAAAAAAAATACATATATCAGCTGAAATTGTGTTTAGTCTGTATTATTATTGTTGTTATAAATAAATGTCATGTGGCCTCATCAATAGCAAAGTCCATGCTCAATAATCCAGGTATACAATCCAACATTTTTCAGTCAGGTCATCTGGATAGTTTCTTTTTTTGTGCTGAAATGTTTCGCCTTCGGTCCAGAAGGCTTCATCAGTCAAGGAAACACACAACAAAACTGATTCTTCCCCCCCAACAGCTTACTCCAAAGTGGAACAAACCAGTTCTGCTTAGCAGAACCAAAGAGACCATCTTATCACAAGCAGAACTGGTTTGTTCCACTTTGGAGTAAGCTGTTGGGGGGAAGAATCAGTTTTGTTGTGTGACTGATGAAGTCTTCCGGATCGAAGGCGAAACGTTTCAGCACAAAAAAAGAAACCATCCAGATGACCTGACTGAAAAATGTTGGGCCTCATAGGTTTTCCACTAGGTTGAGAACATATTTTTAATCATTAAATGTGTCAATACATAACTCCAGCATATATTTTTGTTGCTGTTTTTTAAAAAAACATCTACTTCAGTTTTACCCCCACAGCTTCAGTAAAGCAGCAGGATTCTGCACGTGCACGAGCACAAGCAGAGTCACCTGTCTGTCGGTGCTTTGCAGTGTACATCTGTAGCCGTGTCTATGCCTGCAGGTTCAACCTGGCTGCTGCCATGGAAACAAGCCACAAGTCTATGTCTTAACAGATTATTTCTCATTATGGGCTCATAATGCTGCTGCTTGACAGACTCAAACTTTTTCTGCCATACGAAAACCCCGAGCAGCACGTCAAACACAGATTTATTTTATATACCTTATAGTCAGTTATTTATTTACATATCACAGAAATGACACCCTGTCCAGGGTGTCCCTGCCTCTCACACAGTGACTGATGGATATGGGCACCAGTGACCCCCACGACCCAAAAAGGAAGAAGCTGGTAAAGATAATGGATGGATGATGGATGGATGATGGATGGATGGACTGTGAAATCAAAGGCAATAATGTTTTTGTCTATATCTCTGTGTGTGTATAAATTCATTTGTCTGTGGTGTTAACAAAATATAAACCATTGGATGGATCTTAATGAAACTCGCAGAAACTCGTCATCTGATGTGCACCATCTACATCTGATCAACTTTTGAAATCCACACATTTCAAGATGGCTGCTACAGTCAACAAACCTTAAGAGCACAAACATGCCTGTAACTCAATCCGTTGCACAAATATTAAGCTAAAACTTTTTGTGTTAGTAGCTTTGAGTCACTCACAACATATACTTTAAATGCTGCTCATACAATAATTTTGCTAAGAACTTTAGCATTATCTGTTATTAACACAGTTCGTCTGTTAGCAAAGTATTTGAAGAATTGCTGAATGCATTTTAATGACATTATCAGAAAGTAATCTACAACTCATTAGCCTTTCATGTGAAGACAATTCAAGATGGCTGCCACTGTTAGTTTACCTTGGCCAACTCAAAAATGGCTATAACTCAGTCGTAGGCGATATGCATTCCTTCAAGGAATGCTGGGTTTTTAATTTGAAGCTTTTTTTTGTTCTGTATTTCAAATGCTTCATGTTGTTTGTTTTTTCAGTTTACGGTAGTTTAGTTTTTAACCTTTATTTCACCAGTTGAGAAGAACTAATTTACTGTGATGACCAAGAGGCAGCATTGTAGGTTAGATATAAAACTGCTATGATAAAAGTATAAAAACACAAAAGCAATGCAATAAAACATTTTCACAATATAACACAACAAATGCAGCAGAGAAATGAAACGAAGAGCGACCGAAACCGGTGAATTTGTCTGAGAGAGGCCAGTTTATCAGATTATACGGACGGCAGCGGTGTGGATTAAATGACGCTCTAGTTACAAACGGGAGCAGCGCGGTAAAATCGTTGCAATTAGAAACTTGAAGTCGCATTAAATGAAACATCTGCTGCATCACTGGAGAGCCCGGGAGCCACGTCCTTCCAGCTCTCTTTACAACAGGTTGCCACCAACAGACGCAGTGAGACTGTGTCGTGATGGTGAATATTTTATGTTACATTCACTGCGAGGTAACTGGGGCCTTTTCTTAGTGCGTTATCTGTGGTGTTAAATATTTGATCTTGTGCTCCGGGTGGACGCATGATGTCACGAGTTACATAAAGTGAATCTTTCCAGGCACACGTTCAGTCCAAGTCCAACTGGGCCTCGGATGATAAGATTATTCAGTGTCAGATTAAGAAGTGCGTTCTTGTCGTTTCTTTGATAACAGCTGTCTGTGAGCTTTAGAATTAAAAAGATCAACGTGAAACTTCTGGTTTAATTTATTATCGCTGGGTGGTTATTCAGCAATAGGTTTGTTTTTGCTGTTACAACTTTTGTTTACACAAAAAGAATAACTGTGTGTTTAGTACGAAGCATCTTAAAGCATTAGTCAACACGTTAGCCGGCTCAGAAAGGCTTTGCCTTGATGTTTACATAAGCCCTTTTTCCTCAAGATTTTATTTTTTTTTTTTTCAGCCAAGAGAAATAAAAACAAAATTTGACAAATGGTAACGGCTTGCTTTCATAATGTTTCAGCTTAGTTTGCCTTCTGCTTAGAATGCGCTTGTGTCCAGCGAATAAAATACGTGCAGCTTTCAGGTTTTTTTTGCGTGATTTTTCAGATCTGAATACTCTTGCGTGGGGAATTTTCCCAATTTTGTTTAGAAACATGCTTCTTTGGTGGTGCAAGTGTGAAAATGGAGTTGTTAGCATAATTACTTTGCTGCTCCTGTTTTGTTTTTGTTCTCGTGTGGTTGGAACATCAGTGTTGATCGCT